TATGTATTCATATGTGAAAAATTTGGCATATAGGAAGTATCTAATAAATATTAATTCTTGTTTACATATGAATCTTTTTATGTCAAAATTCAATTCATGGTTAAGTAGATTATTGATAAGGAATTATGAAATAGTTTAGAGTTCATATGGAAACTAGAGAAAATTGCTACCACATTATTAATCTGTTCCAATTATGACTTAATAACCAGCTCTACTATAGCAGACCTTGATTTATCTGGTGTCATTAACAATGAGTTTCCCCATATAACAAAAAAAATTCAGATTGGGAGATTGGCTTATTGATTGGTCAATTGATTTAGTTAGCTGTTAGACTGGGAGAGTCCTAAGTACTAGGTCCTCTGCAGGCAATGAGGAGTGCAGCATAAAGGCAGAGGGGTTCCTAGTCCAGTGGAACTCCAAGTTCAAGTTGAAATAAAGGAACTTTGGTTTTGTAATTCATTAATTCAATCACATTCAATAAAACATAATGTAATTGTCTTTTCTCCAATAAAATGGTTAATATTATTGCCTTTTCACAAAAATACTCTTAATGTGCTTTCACACTGTGGTATGTGGCCCCTTGTTTCATGTTGGCCTTTTCACTATTTTTATCATGCTCTCTTTCCTTTCTATGCAAACCTCTTGCATTCAGCTCCTGTCTCATAGGACTGAATCTGTTATAAACTGGCTACCAGCTAAGGGGATATTATTATATTCTCCAATGGTTTGCTTCCTTCCAGTGAAATCAATGGAAGTAATACTATATGCATAAAGCCAAGTTTCTCAGAATTCTAGTGGCTTTTTTTGAATCAGGAAGAGATTCTGAAAATGGGCTGCCATCTTGAATTCATTTTACAAATGGCTGCTGGAAACTACAAAAAGTTATATATAGTACATTGTGATGCTAAACAATCCACAGTGAATGTCCCTTAATAAATGATATGTTTTTTATGTTTTCAAGTTTCACAAACAGCTCTTGGAGAGTGACTTTAGAAGGAGTGAATCAAAATATCAGCTGACCTTTGCAGTAGAATTTTATTGTTATTGTAAGACCTCATAGAACCTGAAGAATTTATATAAAATATACAAAGAAATTCCATATCATTTTTTCTTAATATGAAAATGCTTCTAAGCCAGAGAAAAATCAGAATACCTCTAATATATTTGTTATATGAAAGAGATACTACAAAGTATTGACAGATTTTTTTTTTTTAAGTAAATGATGATGGCAGTCACTCCCTTTAAGGACATAACAACATGCCTATGGGAATCAGGCTGCCCAAATTTCTGGTACCTTACAACACAAAGGGGCATCTACATTCTTTGTTCATGTGCTTAGACATTAATGAAAGTCCCATACAAGGCCTGAGAGGATGACAGAGTTTAAAGCACTAAACAGATGTGCATACATTCATTTGAACGGTAATCATAGAGTGTTGATTTGCTATTATAGTTAAGCTTTTCTTGTATGTCCTCAAAATTAGTTACATTTTGCAAAACTGGAAATTGCAATGAAGTGTAAGTTTCTTATAATCTAATAAATAAGAAAATAAAATAAAGAATTTTAAAAGAGAGACTCCACTTCAACTTCAACTCAAATACCGAATAAGCAAAAATAATATGAGTGTAGAAATTCCCAGCTGATGCTGAGGGGAAGCACCTTTCCGGATTTCTCTGGCTCTGCCACACTTGGTTTCATCAGCAGTTTTTATTTTAAAGCCAGAGTAAAAGATACAAGATGAACCTTGTTAGAAGACTATGTGGGTCGATCACATTCTCACTTGTGACTTTTTAAAAATTGGAAACCTCAACTATCATCAAACATCTCACATCCTCTTCTGTTTGATCCACATATTAAAGCATTACAACCAACATTCTACTGCCAGTGGTGCTCATATTTTGACAAAACACTATTAGAATGAATAAAATCAAAGTGAGGATGGTCAAGACAGTCACCATTGTCGTTCTTCACACTGAGGAATTTTTTTGGCTCTCCTACTGGGATCTAAAATTGTGCAATATGCAAAATTTTACTTTTTAAGTGTTACAGAGAAAATTATACTTTGGCTGAGATGTCTTGCATTCCGGAAATCTGAGGAATATATTCTTGGATTCAGACCTTGAACAATCCATCGGGTCTCTGCCCACAGCAAATCTGTCCAGTCAAGTCTTAAAATAGGAGTTTTAAAATGACTCTATCAACATAACTGTTACTATAGTCACAGAAACATGGAGCTATGATTACTGAATTTAATGAGTAACAATGGAAGAGTAACACAGGATGATCATACCACAAAAGCAGCAAGACTCCTTGGGGGTGACTCCCACTCAAAGCAACTGTTAAGGTAATATGCAGCACTTACGAGCACCATGACACAATGTTTCGTTCTGATGAAGTTTCTTAGTAGTAGCTGTAAAGAAAATGAACTTATTATTAAAATTTACAAGACTGAAAGCAATCAAAAATACTGTAAAAATCTTCTAGCTTACTGTGATTTAGAAAGGGTTGAGAAAGGTAATCAAGTCTCAAAGGCATACGTTCTCAAAGACACAATTTCTCAAAGAAATTTGGTTCACAAGCTAAAGAAAAGTATTTAGGGAGTGGAAAGAACTGACTTATAAGAACAATTTCTAAGCTAAATATATTTTTAAAAATTAAGTCTTCATGGTACTATTGCTCACAAAAATCTCCTATTTATACACTTGGATCCTTTTTAAATTTTGAACTCTAATCTTTTCTTGTGTCTTAAAGATTAATTAAATATTTTAATTTCAAGACATTTAAAAGTGAGCTGAATACCTTGGAATGCTTTCATTCAGAATCAGAGGAAAGTCATCTAATATTTTTTATTATAGAAAGTACAATGTTATTAACATTTAGTAAGATGCCTGCTCTGTTCATAAAAATTCTCTCTCAGCACACATTAAATCTAACATATATTTTCTCATTATTTCTTACAATTTTAGAGCTAGGAAAAGTTCATAGTAAGCAAGTATGTTATAAAATCTTTTATTACAAAAGTATACAAGAAGTAATACAATTTAAATTTAAAGCAAAAAAAAAAAAACTATGCATAACTTCGATAGTAAAAAGAAGACCCCCATGAACTAGATCATGGTTCACAAAATTAAGTACAGATTACAGATAGGTAAAATAATTGTACGTCTGCAGGTTAATATTTTGTTATTTCAAATACATTTCATTGTACGTCTGCAGGTTAATATTTTGTTATTTCAAATACATTTCAATACTGATCTTGTATTTTAAAGAAACAGCTACATAAAATTTACTGATCCAGATGTCGAAAAGTATATATGTACAAATATAGATGTTTATAGATGCACATATATACATACCAGTTCTAACATGTTGGTAAAACTGAAATTCCATTCAGGCAAAAAGTCTCCTATATGTTTTCCTTCTTGACTCCTATCACTTTTCTTAAAGAACAATTTTTATTATTATTTATCTATAATTGTGGAGAAATGCAATCTGTATTTCTTTTTAGATAGAGATTTCATTTTTAACACACACAATGTTTTAAACACAGGAAAGTTCTATTATTATTGTGAATTTCTAAAAGAGTAAAATAAAAATATTTTCAGGTTTCTAATGACACAGAAAATTACCAAATATATACAATAGGCTTAGTAAGTTTTATTATAATAATTATATTTTGTTTTAGCTTTGTAAATTGTATTAAACATTTTTTTAAAAGGGCAGGTGGTGCTTTTTCTTAACTTGATATCAAAGCAAATTTAAAATTGTGATTGATAGATATCACACTTAATTTAAAATCTTTATAACAGAAAAGTCAGATTCCCTTATATTTCTGTTTGGTTTTTGAGCAAAATATGTCAATGAAAGTTCACTTCTAACAGATCGCAGTTAAAATCTAATTAACAAGGTTTCTCTTAGAAGATGGAGCCCCCTCACTGGATTAGAGGAAAGGGCTTTATTTGCTTAGGCACACACCTGCATCATACCTGTGGGTGGTCTGTACATATATTTGAACCTCAGGCTTTGGCGTTCTCACTTACATACTCCATGACAATCAAATTGTATTTCATGCTCAAAATGACCATTCTCTGGCTAACGCTCGACAACATAGCCACTAGACACTACACCTACAGTATCCTCTTTCCATTCTGACTACTCCCATCTAATTTATCAGTTTGGTTTTGTCCTTGTTTGTTCTTTTCAAGAAAGGAAGAGAGAAAAAGAAAGGAGGAAAAAAAGCCATTTTCAATATGTAGATGATCAAAAATTCCATCGTCTTTCCCCCCTCCAGACCTCCAAGATTTATTTGAATTTACTCAGATGTTTTAAAGATACAATCAGGTCTTCCCAGAGGGATTAATCTTTCCTTGTTTTTACCTGTTTAGAGAGTCTGTTTTCCTCTTCAATGTACTTCTGTTCTTTGGGTATTAATGTTCGTAAGCTGGCTTTCACCTATATATCAACATATGTGTCTGTTATGGATTCATATATTACAAATGTTTACAAGTTTTTCAGGCAGTTCAATTTGCAATAATTTCTAAAGTTTCAAAGTCCTGGCTGCTGTGCTCATAAAATATAAATGTATACAGTTGCATATGCATGCACTTCCCTCTCTCAAGCAGGCAGGCAGCGGCCAGCACACCCGCAGCAGCAGTCACCCACTATAACAGAAAGTGTGGGTGTGCCAGGCAGTGGCAGAAGCGTATTCTCCAGGATACATCAAGGTTTAGAGAAAATGAGGAATGACAGAAATTCTCTACAAATCAGGAACAAAAGCTTTCATGAAAACTGAACTCTTTAGCAGTACAAAAAAGCCAAAGTTAAGACTTACAGCATTAAAAATCACATCTATTTCAAGATAGATGACCCCCTTTGTTGGCCCTGTCAGCTGCTTGTTTTTCAAGACGTAGGCTTTCTGTTCACCATTTTGAATCTGCGGGAAAAGGACATGACAGCCGTCTGTCTCGCAGTCTCCACTGAATACACTCCCTCAGTGACCTTTGACCCCCAGCTGCTGAAACTGACAGAGAACCCAAAACAACTGTGGCAATTCTGACAAGTACCTGTTCATTACCAGGATCAAGTCTGTCAGGAAAAATTAACTATCATGGGATTCAACATGGCCGTGAATTGAGTATGTTAAAATTTTTAGTGTTCTTATTACAGACCTTGGTTGAGAAATGACAGACATAGAGCTGAGTTGTTTTTTTTTTTTTTTTTTCCTTGAGCAAAAGCAACACAGAACAGTGTGTCAGGTGGATAAAACTTACAGACAGCAACGGTATAGCAACTTTGCCCAGAAAGTCAGCACTTCGATCACGGTCTTCATCGTACACTGTCACCTCAAGAACTGAATGGATATCTTTAACATTGCTGCACAATAAACATACAGAAGAAAAAAAGATTCCATCAGTAGGAAGCAAGAGCTAGAATGTTTTTGAAATTTTAAAGTGCTAGCTGATTTTGTGTGTATACAAAATCATTTGCATACACATATATACAGGGTAGTTTGGTAGTTGACAGAATTTCCCATAATGCACTCTACATGACTCCAGGGAGGGCCTTATTATCTGGAACTTTGAAGACTATTGTAGCTTCAAGTTATATTTTTAATGAAGTATCATTTTCTATCTGGGTGGTTACTGTGTTAAGAAGTTACTGAAAACATTTTGTAAGTAGCCCTGGCAATCTTCAGGCTTCCCTGTCTTCTCAGTATAAATCATATAGTCTTGTAACCTTCACTTAAAACATTCCCAGACTTGATATCAGCAAAAATCACTGTACAAGTTTTTTGTAATAATACAATATCTCTTTGGTTAAAAGCAATCACTGAGTTTCTGTTAGAGTTATATAATAAAAATGAGCAAACACAAAAAGCAGAATGGAGAAAATGTAACATTTATAACTATTGTACCACCCTCAGATTTAGAAATCAAGTAATGTTCCATTAAATTCCAAAAACAATGTATGATAATAAAAGACTGTGAGTTCCCCATATTTTTGTTTCTAGAAAAATAAATGCAAATTGTTGACAGCGTTTATTCTTTGATCAAATTGTTTACCAAGAAAACATGAATTAAGAGAAAACAAAAAAATGAATATATTCATTACTGAAAAACCGTAACCACATGTGAGAAGAGGCTGTATCAGGGCACAATCAATTAATCGCTTTGATAATAATCAAACCTATTCATTCAATTATGCATTCTAGAGAAAAACACTCTCCACAACCTTTTTAGGAGTGCAAGCCTCCTGACTAGGCTTTCATCTTTTATAAAAATGTGGAATTCCTTAAAAATAAATTGGTCAGATAATTAAAGCTGATTAGTTACTGGCTCTTAAGCACAGACATTATAAGGGATTAATGAGGAATTTAGCAGTTTTTCATGTTCAAAAAAATAAAACTATGTTAGACAACTGTTAAGTAGTTCTGTTTAGAGAATTTTCTTTGTTGGATGCATTTTCTAAAGCCCAGCCTTTATAAAGGGAACTTTGGAGACACTATAGTGTCTCATCTACGGCTTTTACAGTGCTTGACTGAAAAGATTTACAAACTTTTTGAAACAAAAGGAAAATTAACTCAAAGCCTGTTTTGAAACCTAGGACAATAGTTAATATTCTTATTGTGCTAAAATGAAACAACCCCAAACTAAAGCATCTGCCGATTCCGGACTGGATTGTTTGCTGATTTCAGTAATGGAACAAATAGAGCTTTGTCCTCCTTGGTGTCAATGCGATTGGAAAGAATTTCAATAGAAAGTATGAAAAGAAGAAGCAGTGTGGAGACTCGGTGATGGGAGCAAATCCTTAGTCAGGCCACATAAAATGAACAGTAAAAACGTCTTTGAAAACAAAGAGAAATGGCATACTCCTTTCCCCAGGATTCACTCTCAGGAAGGTAGGGAGTTATGAAGTCCATGGCTATTAGCAAAGGTAGGGCATGAGTTATGAATCAGTGAAGAATAAAAACACAGAGACAGATACACACACGGACAGAAAAACAAACACAGAGACACATAGAAACTCACAAACACAGAGAGACATACACACACACACACACACACACACACACACAGATAGAAACACAGGCACACACAGAGACACTCACACACATATACAGGCATAGAGATACACGGACAGTCTCTCTCTCTCTGTCTCTCTCTCTGTCTCTCTGTCTCTGTCTCTGAGTGAACTATAATTTCATACCAGTTCTGAAATAAACAAAGGTAATACTACTTACAATGTGAAGACTTTGTTCCATTCAGGATTGAGATTTTTGTAAACAGTGTGTGTTAGTAGCCTGTCGTTGTTCAGTTCTACTACACAAAATGGATCACTTTTTCCTACAAGAGATTTAGGGTCAACATTTTTAGCATATAGCACCAACATTCACAATATCATGATCACAACCATATATTATTTCCAAGAAGTTTCATAGTAGACACAAAGTGAAGTAAAAGTTTAAAAGTTAAAAAAAAAGCTCATCAAACATATAATTGAATTTTAACAATTGTTATGATTTATGGCAATTTAGAACTTGAAACTAAACTGTATAGCTGGAGTTAACAAAACTTAACACTATAGCTGTCAGTTATGAGAATCTGCTGTGTCCACCCCAAATCAATTATTTAGTTCTATTATGACCATTTGAAACATCCTTCATTTTAATCTTCTGTATACATTTCTTGACTTCTCTGATTCACTAGTAATTTATAACAGGGCCTTCTAAATAAGTTTCTTTTGAGAAAATGGCTATATAACAGAATTGTATCATTTTAATCTGACTGTAGTTAAGCTATGTTTTCCTGAGATATCTATGGAATCAAAAGAAGATAAATCAGACCCTCTCAGGCAGAAAAATTCTGCCAATTGAAATTTAACATCAATAATCAATCTGCATGCTAAAGAATAGCACTCTTTGCTGCTCCCTGAAAATAAAGGATTTGGAAGTTATCTGTTCATCCTGGCTCACCACTGCCATAGTCAAATCTCATCCATTCTGCAATTATCTTTTGTGATGTTCTCACTATTTTTGTAATGTCATGTCCTATATTACAAGAACCTATAAAGTCAGAGGCTCCATGGGGCAGCATGAATGATATTAGTGCAGTATGTAATTTGTTTGATACCTTATACAAATGACAATGGAATCAATATTTAGACAAAGCTGTCCAGAGGTCATATCTTTTAAACTGCAATATTGATTTAGACTACATAAGAGGTTAATGTGCATATTATTAACTTTAATGATAAAGAATAATTGTTTTAAATGCATTGTGAATTGTAGCCTCAGTAGTTTACACTTGTGCAAAAGCTTAAATATCATTGAAGACTTTCAATTAAATTTTAATGGGAAGGAATTTATTAGCTACAAGTGACAGATAAGCTATGTGTTCCCACACAGCAGTGTATTCACTTTCCATAGTACAATACTTAAAATGAGCTGTACAAACTTTAACTCACCTTTAATTTATTAATTTTATATTGAAAAAGAGATTTAATATGTGTGTTAGTTCAGTAATCTCATATAACCCAAGATAATTGCATCATTTAACATTATGGTAGTTTTTCCAATTTGGGGTCTTGGGAATAATTTTCAGCAAAGAATGGGGAAATGGAAATCTTTAAGGTCTGGTAAAAAAAAAAAAACCTTTACTACTTGCTTTGTGCTTTTATGAATTCTCATTTTTACTTACCTTCACCACTCTCATTTCTAACTCCTGAACACCATGAAAGTCAGTGTTGAGAATAGTCTGTTCATTAAAATACATTGTAATTGGCTTTACTTGTCATATCAGCAATTTTGTTTTCTTTCAGAGAATTCTGATACCAACACACAAAGACAGGCACAAATAGTTTTTGTAATATATTTATATGTAAATCTCTAAGCAAGATCTTCCCCAATAACCATGCCACATCTTAGTGGTTGGCAGCTTACAAACCAGGAAAAGCTAGGTAATTTGATTATCAAGTCATATATTTAATAAATCTTCATTGTTTTATCACGTTCCAGACTGTGTTTTATACTTTGGAGAAATGTCAATGTATAAAAAATTAAAAATAATCCCTGCCCTCATAGATTTTGCATGGAAGAAGAGACTAAATACCTTCTATTATGTTTCAAGTGATAAATACTATGATGAAACCTAATGATTGTAAAGAGATGGGGAGTACTGGCATGTACACAGAATTTCCCAAAGGGCTGAAAAGGTCTTGGTGGCAAAGTGACACAGAGGAAAAGCAATGAAGGTGGTGAAAGAGTGAGCTGTGGTTTGCCTAAAGAAACAGATCCTGCAAAGGCCCGAGAAGTGGCTGTGCCTGGTGTGCCAGTAATAGCCAGGAAGCCAGAGTGACTGGAGGGATAGATTGGGACTGTGTGTGCTAGATGACAGGGAAGGATAAGGAGAGCTGTGGGCCCCTAAAAGATGTGGCTTTCATTCTGATAGAAGAGGGATGCTTTCGAGGAATGTAAGTTGAGGAACGGCAAAACCCACTTAAAGAATAAGGTGGAGAGGGCAATGGTAAAGGTAGGAAGATGAGTCAGAGCTAGTACAGCAATCCAAGTGGTAGAAAGTGGTTGGATTTTTGGTAAATGTTGAGGGTAGAACCATCACAATTTACCAGTGTCGATAATGAACAGTCTACTATGTCCTGATATTTGAAGATGGAAAACAATTCATTAAACTTTTATTTGGGGTTTTGGGTAGAAAAAGCATTCAACAAGGAGTTTAGTCTATCCCAAGATTCTGGTAAAGAAGAGGGAATAGGAAAGTTTATTCAATTTGTCTTTATCCTTTTTTTAAAAGTTATCTTTTTAAACTTTTAAAAAATTTATTTATTATTTTTATTTTACATTTATGTGTGTATTGCCTGCATGTAGATAAGTGCACCTGTGTTGTGCAATGCCCGTGGAGGTCAAAAGAGGCTATCGGATCCCCTGGGACTGGAGTTACAGACAGTTGTTAGCTGCCGTGTTGGTGCTGGGATTCAAACCCTGGTCTTCTGCAAGAATAACCAGTGTTCTTAACCACTGAGCCATCTCTCCTGCCCCAAAAGTTATCTTTTTAAAGTACAGGAAATAGATGCCAATATCAGGGCTTTAAAAACTGTACTATTTTTCACTAATTTAGAAAGTATCCTTCTGTCACTGTGAGATCAAGGGCAATTATAAACTGCCATCAATTTCAACCAAAATAATAGCAATGTACGGTATCAAATTCTATAAATTCAGCATTGAAAAGCATACACTACAGTTTTATTTTTAAAGAAATAGCTACACATGTTAATGTGCTGATTTGGCTAAATAATGCCTTCAGTGACTGCTTTTCAGATCCTAAATTTTCCGGGCTTGATTATCTGCCACTTAAACAAATAGAAAAAATCAGAGAAACACTAGTGATGGGCCAAACCATTAATTATCTCTTAATTATTCCTTCCTTTCATCCTTTTACCATTCCATTTAGACTCTGTAAAAGGTTTTGCTGCTTGCTCAAGTAGGAGTACCTGAATTGGGTTGACATGGGCTGGAGCTCTGATGGTTATAAAGTGCCTTATATTCTGCAAAAAGCATGTTTTCACTAATACCATGTGGCTAAAAGCTTAAGAAATGAAGACAGGGGGCTGGAGAGATGGCTCAGTGGTTAAGAGCACTGGCTGCTCTTGCAGATAACAAGGGTTCGATTCCCAGCACCCACATGGTAGCTAACAACCAACCATAACTCCAGAACCAGGCCTTTGGACACCCTTCCCTGACCTCTGTGAGCATTACATGACATGGGTGCACTTACATACATGTAGGAAAAACAGTCATACACATTAAAAAATAATAATAATATAAAAGAAATGAAAACAGCAACCAAAGTTGAAATGTATTTTTATTTCTTGTCATTTTTTACCAATCAAAAATCTTAAGGTATAGATTATATAATCTCTTATCTTCTTCATACTCATTATTTGTCATAACACTAAAGCAGGCCCATGATAACCAGTAGGCTGTCCCTTAACCTCTGTCATTTAGGTCACAAAAATGCCTATTCCTTTCCTTCGAAATGTAACAAACTGAAGAATTTGGTTTCCATGGAAGACCGAAATTGCAGCAGTGCAGGGTAAGGGTGGTAGCTGTGATGTCGACTGCTTTAACTGCAGTGACAGCTGGAAGAGAATCTCAGCCTTCCTTGAGAACATGGCAATTTCCAGTGTTGACAATTTTCTGGAGAGAAATAGGAATGCCTTTTGAAGCATTCATTACTTATTGAGTGAAGATTCTGCTCACCCCAGAGTTATAGTATGATTAAGACAGAGTGGAGCTCTCAAGGCACGCACAATTTAGTAGACATTATAGATATGTAAATACACAATTATAATGCAGGCTTGTAAGTACTGTAATAAAGGTAAGTGAACAGTGCAGAGGGAGAATGAGGAGGAAGCATATCATTTTACAACTCCAGGACAGGAAGGAAAAGGGAAGCACAGAGCGTTTCCCAGCGGAAATGACCCTTGTGATCTACAGTGCCTGTACATCTCTGTCACGAGCATTTTTTAAAAATGAAGAAACCACTACATAAAAATGAACCTTAACAAGTTACAATCAGTAATATTTAACTTAAATATATTTGCATATTTGTTTAATATTGTCTTTATAGTATAAAAAGTTGAAAAGCATGACATAACTCATAAACAGGTATTTCAAACTTGTATGCTATTCATAATCTACTTAAATACTGAAAGCCAATTTTCCTTTGATGTTTTAATAGGAAAAAGGATCTCTCATGTGAATTAATACTAGAGATTCTTTTACTACATATTGTAAAATTATATTTGCAACTGATTTTAAAGCACATATGGCATTACTTAACTCTTCTTTTAATCTATTTCACAATAAAAAAAAATCTGGATTGACTCCAATGGGCATCTTTTCTGGAAATTCTACAAAACTGCACCACAGATCAATAGAGTGAGTTGAATGGCTAATTTTCACTCTTGCCCTTGCCCTTGACCTACTGACAAAGAACTGTGGGAAAGTCTGCAGAGCCCCGTGCTCACTTGTTACCTGTTTGTTCAAACTATAGCTTTGGATATTAAAGTCACCCAAATGATACTGAGAGATATTCTTGCTCAAAACAGAATGTTAATCCTGATCCATCAGTGTTTTGCTTTGTCCAAAGTCATTTTACTGCTGACAAGTGGCACAGTTTGCTAGATGTAGTGTGTCACAAAAATGTGGGGGTGGGGAGGACCTAGTGACCACCTCTTTGTTGCCATGTTTTTGAAAGCACAGAAGGCTTTCAGTAGCATGGAAAGAAATTCATATCCATGTGGGTATGGTTATTTGGGACCTACCTTG